CATCATATAAGCCTCAACTCACAAAAAGACATGCCACTTTCAACATAAAAACACAAACTCTAGTAAAACAGAAATGTCACGTAACATTCATATTGGGTTTTAAAAGGAACATATGCTGGTAATTCCTCACCCTAAATTAGTAAAGTTCTGAAAACCCTGTAAATCTTTTCAAAATAAAGACAGAAGTTTTTAATATGAAAAATTAGCTTGGGAGTGGCTAAAAGATTCTTGCTGCTCTCCTTCCAATGAACTGATGTTCTGAGGCAACACTAGAGTCCTTCACTCTGCAGTCATCCTCCAAAGTTCAAAACCTTGCAAACAGCTTCAATTACATGCACAAGAGGTCTCTGATACATAAGCAGATATGTTGTGTTTAAGAGGCATCTTCTGTTTCTATCAGGTTAGACCAAGAAAGACAGCCTTACATTTACATATCTCTGTAAAGATTTCAAAGTTTTTACATCATTTGATCATTTGATCATCACAACTCTATGGTTTAATAACAAGGATTATCATTCACTGTCAGACAAGGAAATGAGCTCAGAGGAAAAGATGGCTTGTCTAATATTAAATAGGTTTAATAAAATAAATACATTTCCCCAGACCTAACTTTTGCTCCTTCAAAATCACATACCAATTTTAGATGCCCTATTAACCTTATAACTTCGACCATTATAAAAAATAAACAATTATAAATTCAAAATGTCCTTTTGCTTTGCTCAAAATATTTCTCTAAATGACAAAATGAATAAAAAGACATTCTTCAAATCCCGTTAGCCAGAGAACCTGATACAGATATTTTTTCATTAACATTCAGAAGATATTTCAGAAGTTAATTTTCTTCTTTTGTAAAAGGAATACTGTAAAATTGCATTTTACTCTAAAACTGGGTTCCAAAGGCAATAGATAAGTATAATGAAAGATTTCCATTGAAGATTTCTTCAATCTTCTGAAATATACGGTAGACTTGAATCCACATAACCTAAATATATTACTCATCAAATGTGACATTTTTTCCCCCCAATATGAGTCTGGTAATTAAAATGACTTGGCAACTAGAATTCTAAATTCAACCAAGCATACACAATAAGTGCATACAAATATTCTTTCATACCTAAGAATTAAGAACTCAGACAAATATTTTTAAACTAGTAATTGAGAATAGATTTATAACTGTCAAAAGGTAGAAAAAACCCCACTGTATATCAATAGATGAATGGTGTAACAGTTCATTTTATGTGTCCACAAGTGCATTTCTGGATTACACATGAGAAAAGCAGATCATCTTTCCACTGTGTATGGACCTCACCTAGGCAAATGAAGGCCGGAAAAGAACAAAAATACTGAGAGGCAGAATGCATTCTCTGCCTAATTTTGAGCTGGGACACTGGTTTTCTCTAGCCTTGAGACTCAGACTGAGTTTACAGCACTGGCTGTCCTCTGGCCTTTGGACTTGGACTGCAACTATCACCAGCCAGGGTCTGAGAAGGTTCCTAAAGCTGTGATAAGGACCCTAACACATCGTACCCACAGACTAGGACTGCAAGTTTAAGGGCTCCCACATCAGAAGAATATTAAGATTAATCAATAAGAGACACGGAAAAGGTTTTAGTAGGCAGAAATTAAAGTATATACTCAAAGAAACAGAGTACAGGCCTTCACAAGAGAAAGAGAAGAGCACTATTTCCTGGAATGGGAACATCTGTGCTTCTTTTAAGGGGCTGGAAACCACAGGAAAAGGAGGCCCAACCCCCCGAAGGGTACTAACGCATTTACACATATAGGCCCAGTTTTGCTTTGTTTTGATTTTTTTCTAATGTAGGTAATTTAAACATCCTTTGGATTCTCTAAATCTTTTCCTTTATCTTAGGAGCAGGTTCATACTCTTCTTTCTCAATTATGTCAACTTACAGACTTTCAGTATTCCTGAGGAATTTTAGATGTGATGGTTCGGGAAGAAAAGGAGTCTCAATTTAACCAAGGGAATGCTGATATGGATTGTCTCAGGTGATTTCTGCATGTGTCCTGAAGTTGCAGTCTTCTAAAAGTACAATTTTAGTTATGATTTTCTTTTCTCCTTTTCCCATCTTTATTTCTTCTATCCTACATCAAAACGATACTGTCAGCTTTTGTGGGTCTCCAGCTTGCTGACAATAGACGTTGGGACTACTCAATATTCAATACCACTTGAGCCGATTCTTTCTAATGACCTCTTCCTGTATCTATATACATACACATAATTGGTTCTGTTTCCTTGAAGAATCTTGGCCAATACAAATGGATGAAGGCAACGCGACATCTACACACAGTGAAACATTGTTCATCCTTAAAAAGAGCATTCTGACACTACATGGATGTACTTTGAAAATATGTGAAGTGAAATAAGCTGTTACAGAAAGACAAAATACTACTGTGTAATTCCACGTATGTGAGAAACCTAATGTAATCAGAGTCATGGAGACAAGAAGTGGTATGGTAATTTCTAGAAGACAGGCAAAAGAGGGAAGAGTGAACTCTTGTTCAGTGGGTAGAGTTTCAGTTTGGCAAGATGGAAAGAGTTCTACAGATGAACGGTGAGGATGATTATACAATAATGAGGATATATATACTTAATGACACAGAACCAAACAGGTACACTGTCAATTTCATATTTTACCACAATAAAACAATACTTTAATTCTTTATTTATTAAGACTTTATTAGCTAAATGAGGATTCCAAACAATCCTAGAATGTACTTCTGGCCAAACTAGAACAACAGGGCCTGGATTCTTGCCACTGTGTTTAAACTAGAAAGCAGGATAGTAAATGTGAAAGAACAGTTTTTAGAAACTGTACAAAAGATAGAATTGTGTCCACTGAGAGAAATATAAATGAGATAAAAACCTTTGATTATCCTAGTTTACTGCCTAGAGACAGTTTAAGACACAGGAGGAAGGCAAACCTAAAGAATGAGGATCCTGCTGAGCGGAGAGACAGCAGAATGAGCTACAGAGGAATTCGATCCTGTCTTTGATGAAGTATTTATTCATGAACACAGGAGAAAAAAACTACTCCAGGACAGGAAAAGCAGCAGGCTGAACAGTTCCTGAATTTCACATAGGAACAAAACGTGTGTACCCATCAACCAAAATAGAAAGGCCTTATAACGTATGGCCTTATGATGATGGGGCACGCAGCTGGGTAGGGTCTTTAGTACTTCCTCCAGGCGTGGATTAGTCCGAGAGCAAAGGCTATTCCAAAACAACCATTTCAGAGATTACAAAACAAGGCCCAAAATACTATGAACACATGCCAGAACAAAGGCCAATATTCTTTTCAAAAATACCCCAATCTAAAAATTTTTTAAAATTCAAGCGTCAACTTTAAAGGAATACAACAAAACCCAGAGCCTAATTGTGAGAACTCTGCGAGTCATGTAAGTGTCTGAAAGCTGTGCAAAAAGCAGGGAGTTATAATCCATAAGCGAGGGTCAGTAAACCAGAAATGATAAAGATGAAGGGCTCACAGGAGAGGGCACTGACGTTATATCAACATGGCCTCTAGGTCCTGAAGTATAGAAATGAATCACAAATGTACTGAATAAGAAATGGTAGATATACTTTAAGTTTCCATATATGGGAAACGTAGCATCTAAGATTTTAAAAAATGACTCTTGGGGAAAAATAGCAGAAGAAATCACAGAAGATGAGATCAATGAACATAAGATCTCACGACAGAATTATACAAAATAAGGACCACAGAAAAATATTAATTTCAAAAATAAAACAAAAAATTAGTGACCCAGATGGCAACATCAAGCAGTCAAAAATATTGCAAAAGGGATCCAAGATTTAAAAAAAAAAATTTTTTTAAAATAATGCTGAAAAGGAGGCTGGGAATTGAAAGAAAAAATTTTAAATGCACACATTTTTTCCAAATATGATAAAAACTATAAGATTAAAAGTCCAAGAAAATAAAGACCAAGAAAATGACACAAAGGTATATCATAGTTAAATTTTTAAAAATAAATGATAAAGACAAAATCTGAGAAGCAGGTAGAAAAAATACCTGCTTTTCAGTATTAAAAAATTTAAATAAAGGTAAGAATGACAGAATACCTCTGAAACTACAAAAACCAGAAGAAAATGGAGTAACAGTTTTCAACTAACAGAAAGAGGAGGAGGAAGAGGAAGAGGAGGAGGAGAAAAAGGGGAAAAAGGAAAGTTATAAAGTTGGACTTCTACAGCAAACAAAGAACTTTTTAAAACAAGAAATAAGGACTTTTTCAGACAACAAGAGCTAAGAGAATTTACTGCCAACAAGTCTGTAAATACACAACAAGAAAGGTCTTCAGATAAAGGCAAAGTATATTAAATAGAAATATGGATTTACACAAATCTGTCACCAGATAGGGTCCAATGAGGTCCCTCAAAGAGGAGGAGATGGAGACCTCCACTCACCGTGTTCATGGACTTGGCTGTAAGTTCACTGATGGCCACTGAAAAGATTTCCAGGATGTTCAGTGTGAGACACAGAAAAGTTTACTAGGCCAAAAGTAGTATACACCCAGAAGGGAGTGCAGGCACTGGGGTTGGAGGTTTTTATGTGATCTTGGGGGTGTCCTCAAGAGGAGTGATCTAGGGTGGGTAACCCTGCTGTCCATTAGGCTACCCATCTGGTGGGCTTGAATAGAATGCAAACACCTTTGCATGTGTTTGAAATAATAGATACAGCTACCCACTTACGGTACCTCCTTGAAGATGATAAATCTGTAGAAGGGAAAGTACAAGCTCAATCTACAAGCCAAAAAAGGAACTAGAGGGCACAAAAACAGGAAGAAACAACACTACACAATTTGCAAAGGACATCATTGTCCATATAGAAAATCCCAACAATCTATCAAAATATCTCCTAGAACTAACTTAGTAATCTTATCCATAAACTAACAATATTCATGTGGAAATAAATAAAATACATGCCACCATTTACAATTATTAAAATAACATACAACATATACTATACATATGTTATTATATATGTGTGTAAGTATGTATAGGACATATTGTTGAAAAATTACAAATTGCTGATGAAAGAAGTCAAGGTTCTAAATCAACAAAAGACATACTATGTGCACAGACTGGAAGACTAGATAAAGTAATGATTTCAATTCTTCACAAATTTACTTATAGGTCTAAATATAATTCCTATCAAAATATGAGTAAAATTTTGGAAGATATGGACAAGGTTATTCTAAAACATATATGCAAAGTTAAAGGACCTAGAGTAGCTAGACAATATTATTAAAAAACACAGTAGGGGGAAATCACTCTGCTCTGCTCAGTGTTAATTTACTATAGAGCCACTATAAGTAGAGAACATGGTAGTCACTTACATCCAGAGCACAAAATAGAGACCCCAAAAATAGATCTCCTCAAATATACCCAATTGACTTTTTGACAAAGATGAAAAAAACAACTCAATAGTGCAAAGACAGTCTTGCACTTACCACATGACCAAGCAATCAGATTCCTGGGTATTTAATCTAGAGGTGATAAATTCATACAGAAACTTCTTCATGAATGCACACAACAAAATTATTTTTTAATAGCCCCAAACTTTCCGTGGTCAAAGGTTAAACAGATAGGTACATCCATACAAAGAAATACTACTCAGCAGTAAGAAAGAACAGCTGACACTTGCAACAACTTGGATGAATCTCAAGGGAACCCTTTTTACTGAAGAAAGCCAATCCCTAAATGTTATATACATTATGTTTTCATTTACCTGGCATCTACAAAACTATGAGATGGAGAAAGGTTAGTGACTGTCAGGGAACAGCAATGAGGCTGCAAGTTAGGGAACAGAGCTTCCCTAGAAGAGACACCGTGACGGTAGAAGGTTTCACGTCTTGAATGTGGTCATCGTTAAGTCAACGCCCAGGATCAAATTGTACTGCATCACACACACACACACACACACAACTTTTATCTCCAGTCCAAACTCTTTCTCAAGCTCACAACTCAACTCCTCTACTTGATGGTTCGGTGGCACCTCAATTCAACACATCCAAAACCTAACTCTTCCCTTCCAACACCACTTTCCTCAGCCTGCTTTCCTCAATGTTTTCTCATTTTAATTAAAGGCATTTTTCTTAGAGTTATTTCAGCCAAGAACCTTCAGAGTTGTCTTAGTTCTCCTCTAGCATCTCATGTCATCACTTCTATCAAAATATATCCAAAAATCTGTCAACTTTTCAGATTCCCTAGCTACCAACCTAATCCAAATCATTTTCATCTCTTATATTTGTGAGGAGACTTTGTCTAAAGGCCTAAATAAAGTTACCCTCTTTGCCATTGTCCAGTTCTATGGGTAAACACTAATTAAAACAGTCTCAATAGATCTAAAAGCAAGATCATGGTGACTGACTGAGCCAAGAAACTGGCTGCTATATGCTGCATCTGCTTGAGACTTTTATAATAACAAATAAAACAAAGGAGTAGAAGAAAGTTCTGGCAGTATATTTATTAACCACTCAAAAACATCAAGATGCAGAATGTACATATGAACACATAGTGCATATGTACCTGAGGCATGCACTACATATACTGAAACCCTTAAAGACCACCTAGACTCTATAATGAAGCAAGAAAAAGGAAACCTTATCACTTGACATTGCCCATGCTAGTTTCAACGTTTGCCCTCAATGTTCTCCCCTGTTATTGTTTAGATCTGGGATGTCCCCGAAAAGCCTCTCAGTCTCCTGACCACCGTGATGTGAGAAGCTTTTTCCCTGCCATGGCCTGCCTACCACATCATTTGTGCCTTGGAGCCAAAGATCATGGACTGAAAACTGTGAGGCAAAATAAACTTTTAGTAAGCTTGTAAAAAACGTTCAGTTATGGGTATCAGGTATTTTGTCCCAGTGATAAGGAAAGTTACTAAGACAGTCCCCTTCAAAGTTCATGTTGTTTTAAGTCGCCCTTTGAGCAGTATTAAGAGTTTGAACAAGGAGATTGGGCCATGAAGGGGCCACCCTTGCAGGGGGGCTGCTGTTATGAAAGTATAAATGTGACCCACTTTTGTATCTTGGCCCTTCTACCTTCAATCACTGGGTGAAAGAGCAAAAAGACGCCTCCCAGATGACAGCACCTTGACCTTTCCAGCCTACAGAATGGTGAATCAATAAACTGCTGTTCATTATAAAATATACAATCTGTTGTATTCCGTCAAAGCTGCACAAAAAACACTACCATACTTGGCACCTGAACATTTAAAAGACCTATAAGACACTTTTTCTGCCACCAAATGAAGTAACTCTGAGACTTCACAAAGGTGAGATAATTTGATCTTCAGTAAATTATTAAATGTGATAATAAAGACTTTACAGATTAACAATTCCTTATTTTAATAGTAAAATTACAACAGTACAAAAATAACTCAAAACTCCATCAAAAATAACTCCAAACTCCCTAACATTGGGCACATTCCTTGTGAAGTATTAACATGAGGCTGTCATAAAACATTCCTAGTGTCAATGTCACAAAAAGGATACAGAACAGCCAGATCCTTATCCTAGCCCAGTATGACACGACACTCCAATCAGCACGAGTATGGTAAGGGCACTAATCTTGATTCAAAAAACTTGTGTTAGTTTTACCATTAAACAGATGACCTTGAATAAGAAGAGCATCAAGAGTTCCTATAGCTATAAAATCACACGAGTCTATGATTTATTTATGAAGTATGTATGACATCTGACACTGTAATAGTTGTTGTGAGGGATACAACTAATTACAAATAGCTTAGGCACTCATATTTTAGAATCAAAATGAACAAGGTCACCTAAATATCCCTACATCTTCTCTAGACACAATGAAAATTACCTCAAAACGCAAATGAAGTATGTACCTTTCAGTGCTGTGGTCTTTTCTTTTTCATCTGGACCTCCCTGCTGGATTTGTGCCATGTTTATCCAAATTGGCAACAAAATTAAAGAACTCAAGGAAATAGACATCAATCTTCAGAAGACAGTCTAGAATGAATGAAAGCAATAAATTAAGCTCTATTCAAATCCTGCCTACTCCCTGAGAACTTCCTAGATCCTCCCAGTGGAAGAGGATTATCATCTAGCTGATCTGCTACTTCACTTTGTTCATGCCTAACCACAGTACATACTGTTGTCTGCTCTGCATTACAATTATGTATGTATTTACCTCATTCAGTTAACTGCTTAAAAGCTCCAGAAATAATGGTAATAAAGTTTGTGTCAGTGTAGTTCTCACATCTAAAAGCACAATACCTTGAACCTACAAATAGCAATACATTGGTTGAAGTAAATTTAGCTAAACTTACTAGTTTTTATTTCTTATCAGCTATTACTTTTTAAAAATATCTTCAGGTAATCTCAAAAATCTGAAATTTCTTGTAAAGTAAATGCAATGAAAGCATTTTCCATTTTTACAGTCTTCCTCCTGCAATAAGCAGACAGGAGAAAAAAATACATAAAGTTTCTACAAATTAACTATTATTAAAAATACGACTTTATGGGAAAGAAATACCCTTTATAAAGTGAAACTATGTTATATTCAATACTGGAAGCCATAATCTATGAAGTATGACCTAAAATTACAGTGAATGTTTAAATTTTAAACTAATTACTACAGTAAGACACATTGCCATTAATTTCCCTCAAGATACTTCCCCTCACTTTACACATACAGTCCACCTGATCATTCTGGCCAACGTCTGAGGTAGTTCTGGGAGTCCTCTTTCCTGAGCGTCTTTTGTTCTTTGTTGTGGCTGGCTCGATGTTTTGAATTATTTTGCAACAGTTAGCTTTTTATGCTCATTCTGACTTTGGGTAAGAGCAGAAGTTACATGGTGCAAGATCCAGAGAATAACGTGCACGAAGACAAAGCATAGCTTTTATGAGCCTAGCTTTCCATTGGGTGGCATTCAGTAGCAGCACTCAGCGTATTTTTAATCAGATCTGGTAAAGAAACTCACGAAAGAGATCTTGTAAAATTGCTTCAGAAAGCAGCAAAAACTGGAATAAATGTGCTCAAAGTGAGGGGGCTATTTTGAGGGCAATTAATGTTAATGTGTCTTTTACTATAGTAAGTTTTAAAAAATGTAAATATTCACTATGACATTACCATAAGCAATAATAATATAAAATTATGACTTACTAAAAAATCTAATTATGCTCTATTTTGGCCAGAAGGGCAGCATTAAAAGTTTCAGTAGATGGTTTTCCCAAGGTGCCCATGAATAAGAATGAAAACAACTATCCCTAAAGTTTAAAAGAAAAAACAACTTTTAATTAACCTTAATCAATTACTCCATAACTATTAACAAAGTTATATAAAAACTACCCTGATGGCAATAAAAAAACCAAGATTGAATATTCCCGATTAAAGATCAAAACTGGCTTGCTACCCAATTTTATAATGATCTTTAAAAACAGAGGCATTTGCATAATTAGCAGAATGTAGCAGAATATGCTTCAAAGGTTACCTATTCTATGACTCGAAAAGAATTAAAAAACCTAATCCTAAAACTAAATATTTTTGAAATATGAATGTTTCAAATGGTCATAACCAATGTAACCAAATCCTAACACTAACTGGAGGTAATTTTTTTTTTCTCATTGAGTTGATTGGTACATTTTAAGTATACAGTACAGTTACATTCATCATTGGGATCTTGTAACTTTACATGACAGGTTTTGGTTCTCATTTTTTCCCCTTACTCCTGCCCTCCCTTCATCCCTTCCTCCCTTTCCCTATTTACAAATACTTTCATTTTTTCATTTTCTCATGGTTTTTTTCCTTTTCCCTTATTTCCTTTCCCTACCTTTCCTACTTCCCCTACACCTTTAGCCCTTTACTTCCTATTTCACATTGTCAATTATACCATTAGGATCTTATGTAACACTGTAGTTTTTCACACCAGAGAAACTATTCAGCATTTATACATGTGTGACTTCTTTATCTCACTAAAGAGTATATCCTCAATATGTATCCATTTTCCTATGAATGACTCTAATTTCTCATTCTTTATAGCTATTATTCCATTTTATAGAAAAAACTGCATCTTCTTTATCCAGTCTCCAACTGATGGGCAAATGGGCTGTTTTCAAGTTTTAGTTATTACAAACTGTGCCGCTATAAACATAGATGCGCATATATCACTGTGATATGATTCTTTTAATTCTTTTGGAAAGATACACAGCAGAGGGATGGCTGGGTCAAATGGGACCTCTAATCCTACTTCTTTGAGGTATCTCCATATTGATTTCCATAGTGGCTGCAACAGTCTGCATTCCCACCAACAATGGAGAAGGGTTCCTTTCTCCCCACATCCCTGCCAACATTTGTTATTGGTTGATTTCTTGACAGCAGCCATTCTTTGGGGGGTGAGGTGGAATCTCAGTGTTGGTTTCATCTGCATCTCTCAAACGACCAGTGATGTGGAACATTTTTTCAGATATTTACTTGATGCTTTTACTTCTTTGTCTGAGAAATGTCTGTTCATTTCAGATGCCCATTTTTGCACTGGGGCTTTATATTTGGGGGGGCTGATTTTTTTTAGTTCTTTATATATTCTAGATAATAGTCTTTTGTCCAAGGAGCAGCTGGTAAAATTTTTCTCCCACAATGTAGGTTGTCTTGTAGTTCTGTTGATGGTTCTTTTGCAGGGTATAAGTTTTTTTAATAAGATGAGATCCCAGTTGTTGATTCTTTCTGCTAATTCCTGTGCTACTGAGGATTTGTTCATACAGTCTTTTCCTATGCCAATGTCTTCAAGAGGTCTGCCTAACTTATCTTCCAGCAAATTTAGTGACTCTTTTTAATAATCAGATCTTTAATCCACTTGGATTTTAGTTTAGTGCATGGTGAAAGATAAGGGTCTAGTTTTAATCTTTCGCAGGTTGAAATCCAGTTTTTCCAACACCATTTATTAAATAACTCAAGGTAATTTGATACACGAGAAAAGGCCATCTGGCTCTAATATTAACTAACAATAAGCCCATGAAAAATTTATTTCTCTGTGTTTCATCTTCCATATTTGTATAATGAAAATGGAAATGAAGTAATCATGCTTATATATTATGGTGGATGCTACTGGTTACTATCATTCAATGGAAAGCCAAGCTTGTAAAGACTACACTGTGTCTTCATCCATTTTATTCACTGGATTTGGTACCATGTGACCTCTGGCTCTTCCCCAAAGTCCAAATTACCACAAAAGGTAAATGGTTTGATGTTAAATATCAAACATTTAGTACAATGCCTGATCTATAATTAAGTGCTCAACATATGTTAGCTTATTTTTTTAAATTGTTGTAACTGAATCCTAGCTTCACCACTTAATAATAGCATTTGGCCTTTGATGTGCCACTCAATATCTAAAATCTTAAATGCTCTCACTTATAAACTGGGGTCCATAATAATACCCCACATAATGGTCGTTTAAATTACATACAGAAATTGTACATAGCCATTGATTGATAGAACTCTACCCAATCATGTAAGATCTTCAAAGAATAACTAAATATGAGACCACAGCTATGTGTTAAAGGATTAGTCACCAGCCTGTGGTACTATGCGGGAGAGGGTCAGAACCATTAGGGCAGAGTGAAAGGAAGCTGAGTCACTAGGGCTGTGCCTTTGAAGCGGGTACTGGACTTTGATCCATTCTTCTCTCTTTCCATCCTGTGCACCATGAGGTAAGCAGTTTTGCTCTACCACATCCTCCCAGCCATAATTTTCTGCCTCACTAAAGGCCCCAAGCCACAAAGTGAACCAAGTATGCACTGCAATCTTCCAAACTGTGAGCTAAAACAAATCTTTGCTCCTTGAAGTTATCTCAGGTATTTCGTCACAGAAATAAAAAGGTAACAAACACAACTTTTGACTGGGAAAGCATTTTCACTTTGCATGGAACTAGCTGAAATTTTTCTTCTGTGATCAAAACTATAAATTCAACATAAGCAAAAATGTCTTTATGTTCCTTGAAGAAACAAATCTTTGTTGTGAGGTACACATTGTACAAAGGTGAAGAAAAACCGACAGTCACTACCAGGGTAGGAACTTACTTACTAACTGAAATCAAACTGCCAAGCAGCCACAAATAAAATACATCAGACCTAGAGTGATAATTACAATGCTGTTATAACAAAACAATGTTTGTAAGGATAATCTACATTCAGGAATTGGTTTGATCTAACAAGTCTCACAAGTTTACGCACAAGTATCACTAGAAACTCCCCATCCTGGAGCAGAAATTAAAATATTCATAGTGAGATTTCATATAGTGAGCTTTGTTAACAATTCCACAACTAAATTAACATCTATTGTGGGCCCCTTATCATTTTTACTCTATCCCTCTGCTACTTCAGTATTTCTCCTGTTAACTATTTGGTCAGTTCTTATTGGTCCTAAATTATACCTAAACAGAATAATTTATACAATTATTTCATTCTGGATGCTTTAACAAAGGTAAAGTTATAAATATATTATTGCTGCTGCAGTAATACTCAAGATTCTCTTTTTAAAGAATCCCTTTCATGATTCCCAAGATTAAATACCAATTAACAATCATTATTCTTACTTGATGAGACAACATAAAACTCACAAAGCAATTCACCAGGCTGGTGATATAGGTTAGGATATTACTAATTACTATATGTGACCCTAAGCTTTATAGTAGCAGATGCAAAGCAAGTAAGCATGAAGCAAAAGCAATTTGACTGTTGCTCTCTTATACACTGTGTTAGATTTTTACTCTCTTGAGTTATTTTCCATGGCTGTGGCACAGCTGGTGAATCTAAATCAGGAACATTATAAATTCTCAATTTAGTTTTCCTAATAAAAATTCAGAGTTATAACCTGCATGACCACAGATAAACACTACTGAAAATGCACCCAGGAAGCCGTTTGGTACATTTGATATATATTAATATGTGCACTCGACATAGTTTATTTGGCATTATCTGATGGAGGTTAGGTTATAGGGAATAAAGTGGCGGAAGGTTTTTACTGATGTGAATTGGGACATAGTTGACATGTTGTATACTTCATGATAACCACTGCTGTTTAAATATGGTTTCCTAGAAATGGTTATAGTACAAACTAGATTCAAAACATCTCAGTTTGCGATTTCATTCTGTGAACTACACAAAGCAATTATCATATCTTTTTCCTTTCTACAATTCCAACAGAGAATCCGCCATGTATAAATAAAGCTATAAATAACTTGTCATGTGTAATCTTTATCCAGTCAGTATTTTAAAGCATGGAACAGAAAAATATTTATTTGTCCTGTTTGCTCAAAATATGGCATAAGCATTTATAAAGCATACAGAAAGATACATAGAGCCTTATTTTTCCATGTTTGTTTGTCTTTGTGCAAGTATTAAATATCAACTAGATACAGGCGATTTTGCAACAGAAGCCCTTTCTGTCTCACATTCTGACTGCACTGACACAAGTACAGAAAGTGACACGGAACAAGTAAAATCGGTCATCCTCTGAGGCCCTGGGGTCTGGCCTCGTTCTAGTCTGGCCACAAAGAATCTATGCTAAGGCAGACTCTGGAAATCAAGTTCAAAATAACCTACTTACAACTGAAAGTACAGTCAAGTGAAATTGGTACCAGACATTTATGAGGAAGCGAAAACATCCACATTGATTGCAGTTATCCAAGTTGCTCATCAGTAAAGGGTACTTCAGACTAATACTTAGCAGCATATAACTCTAAGATGTGTGTGTGTGTGTGTGTGTGTGTGTGTGCGCGCATATGTGATTGTGTACACAAATATGGGCACTAGGAAAGAGGTTAAGTAATGAAGGCAACACAATGGAGCAGATGGAGGCAACGTCCAGAATAATGTAAGCCCTGATGCATAAAACACAATAGCTTCTAAACAGAACATATTTGGGTCACAGTTTAGTTCAGAACAGAACACCAAATTCTAATCCAAGGATATCTAAAATACTTTCTAATCTTCCCAAGCAACATGATATGGGATGAGATCTAGGTTTTTAATCTCAGTTCTACCATCTAGTAGCTAAGTGACCTCAACCAAGTCACAACTTTGTAATGGGGATAATCACAGTAAGAGTTACCTTTCCAAAGCGATTATTAAGAATAAATGAAAGAATGTAGATATTATATATATAATTATTTTGCAAGCTAAAGGTCCCTTACAAACACTAGTAACCCATAAAAAGTCCAGTATAACAGGGTTCCAAGTAATTTGTGCTCAAAATCTCAGAAGGATACTAAAATCAGTCTAGTTTACAGAAATAAACTTTCGATATGCATCACTTAGATGTACTCTGCAAATAAATAATATGACATCAAAATAAATATCCTTTAGCTGACTTGAGTTTCCAAGAGTATACTGAAAAAAAACTATAAAATAATTTAAACTAATTTTTGACATGATTTGTTTCCTTTACATTCCCTTCTAACTTCATTAAAATGAGTGCCTGGACAATGTGAGTCCCTGGACAATATGAGTCCCACCTTCATTTAAAGGTTTGTTCAAACAATTATGGTTCAGCTGTCTCCTAAATGTACACATTGACCACAGGTCAAAAATTCTTTTTGTCCTGTCATCTTATTTAGGTCATCACTTCAACTGGCAAGGTAGGCAAACGTGACACACTTGCATTTTAAATATGTGAGATCCGGGTTTTTGAGAAGATTCACAAACCTGGAGAAAGTATCACAGATGATAGGAGTAGGTGGATTTCCACGTTGGTATTCTGAGCTGCATTTATTACCATTCTGGTAAGTCAAACTGCTGGATCACACAAGAATAATAATTTCAGTAGCTTTATTCTGCAGGAGTTTTGTACTCTTATGTACTAATTTCTATTATTAGGAAGCACTATAATTTTAAGTTCATACATTTTGGACATAATTATCTCTAGACTAAAGCTGTCAAGGAAAATTGTTTCAGCATATTTATTCAAAATTAACACTGATAAAAAATTACTCCCCATTGTTCGTTACAATCCTTTGAGAAACCAAACATCTTTAAAAAAGGCAAAAAAAAAAAAAAAAAAATATCAAATAAAAAATTTTAAGGCAAAAGAATATCACACTACTGTGTCTTTTGAGCAGGTTCCAAAATTGGTAATCATTTGCTTAGATTTTATAAAACCTTTAGCTATCAAAAGGCAGAAACTAAACAAAATAGAATAGAAACCTTAGAATATCTGTAAATCAGTGTTAAAACTGAAGTAAAGAAATTAAAGAAAGCCTAAGATAATTCTTAATTTTAAAGCCTGTCAAAAGTGCCAGGCAAGGTGATGGGCACATGTATTCCCAGCTTCTGAGAGGCTGAGGTTGGAAAATCACCTGAGCCCACAACTTCAACAGGACAGCAGAGCAACACCGTGCAGAAAGGGGAGGGCAGGGGAGGAAGGAGAGAAAAAAAGAAAAGAAAACAACTGCAAGTAGTCGCGAAGTTTTTCATTCTGTAACAAAATGGCAGGGCTATGGGCCAAGGACAAAATAATTCTCAGAAAGAATGTACTGTACTCAAAATATGAGAAAACCAGCAGGCAATCTCTTTCCTATGGGTGAAATATGTCCATCTGTGATAAATATAAATAATAAAACACAAATATTATAAATGTGTAACTCCAGACTAAATCTAGTAGAAACTAGTGTCTTGAGAAGTCAAAAGAGCCAATACCATGACATAGCAGTGACAATATTCACACAGTCAGCATCCAGTTTTCTCATTCCATTAACGTGCTCACTGACATCTCTGCTCACTTTGGTGAACACAAGGTCCAACTCCCATTCACGATACAATATGCATGTGGCAGACAACAGATGAGTCACCCAGGCCCTCGGAGGGGAGATGTACCTAGATGCAGTGGGTGTGGGCAGCCCACAGCCTCCAGCTGTCTGCAACTTCAGAGCTGGCTCTGGTGCCTAGTGTCACCTCAGTCAAGGTCACGCCTTCTCCTGCTGACCCTTTCTTGGTCACTGAGCCAAGTGGAAATATAAAGGCCTGGCGTGTCAGCCTGATCAAAAAACAAAAACGAAAACAAAAAAACTCTGGTGGACAATGCTTGCTCTACAGCTTGCTGCCAGATTGGCAGAGGCTACATCAGGTCTGTGAGTCAGTTCAATTTTTGCCTCTGACCAATCCTATTGTTCTCCTTCCTTTCTCGAGTGATCTGTGTTAGCCTTTCTTTTTGGTTCTGGGGATCAAAGTTTGGCTGGTGCATGTTAGTCAAGTACTCTATTGTCAAGCTATACTGCCAACCTTAATGCTAATCTTTAACAAACACTTTGCACTTCAAATTCTGTCTCAGCATCTGTTTCTGGAAAGCCCAAGCTTTGACAATGGACTTCTAATGTTTTTAAGAGATTAAGCCTACTAAAATATTTAGCACTGAACCTGTCAGCAGAAGGACACTTTGTGAAATGTTAAGCCATTTATACATAAGACCTATGCTTAGAATATCAAGGAGCTTTCATTTCTATGTCCACAAAGTGATGGAATCCCTTCTTGTGATTATTAGAGCAAAGAATTTTACGATTAGACATCTATGTTCAACGTTACAGCCAAGAATCCAAAGGGATTCTGCTGTTTAGAATATCTAGACCCTGGGAAGTTCATTATAAAATATGAGAGTATCTACAAGTGTCACTTACCAAAGTAACATAAAGAAGAAAAACTATAATAACTCTAATATCTGCAGAAAAAAGTATGTAGTAGAATTCAATTCTCATTTTTGGAAAAAATTGTAGAAAGCTAAGAATGAAGGGAAAAGTTTTAAAAATAAACAAAAACACTCTTAATGGTAAAATTTTAAAAGCCTCCTTAAAAACAGGTTATCACCAACCTGTCAAGTTTTCTGGAAGTTTTACCCCATGCAACAACACAGGAAAGAAACATATGAGGATTGAACAAAGGAAAACAAAGTTAGCATTATTTGAAAATTATATAATAATAGCAACAACAATTCAAGAAACAAGTTTTTCTAGCATTAAAAACAACTTTAACTTCTATGTGGCAGGGTGTGGCGATGCACACATGGAACCCTAGCCGAGGAAGGAAGAATGTAAGTTTGGGGCCAGCCAGCTATGTAGTGAAACTGTGTGACAAAAACAAAGGAAGGAAAGAAAGGAGGTAGGAAGGAAGAAAGGACAAAAAAAAAAGAAAGAAAGAAAAATGAAAGAATTTCTATGTTTGGGAATAAATGGGATTCAGCAAGATGGCTTACTAAAAATCTATGTGTAAGATTTGTGTCTTATAAAAACCAGCAAACATCAGTTACAAGGAAAAATATTTTTTACAAAAATATTTATAACAGCAAGAAGTAAAACCTTTGCAGTTATAAGAAATATAACAGACAATGTTACTCCTATATATAGAAAGTTCTAATACCGAAAGGCATCAAAGAAAACTGAAATACATGGACAGAAAGACTCCATATTGCAAAGATACCAGTTTTCCTCTTCATTGATGTGTGTATTTAATGCAATTCTACTCCAACCTAAGAGTGTTTTTTATAAAATTTAAAAACCTACTTCAAAAAGTTATGGAGAAGACAAATGACACAGAGTGGATAATACACTTCAAAAGAGGAAGAATATAATATGGAGACTTGCTTAACTAGGTTTCACAGTAAGTACTAAAGTATGTCATTACTATTAGTACTAACCAATTGATGAACAGAAACTCCAAGACAGAGCCATACCACAGAGTCATGTGACAGCTATGACACCATCACAGAATTAGGAAAGGATGGACTTTTTAATAATTGTGACAGCTGGTTAACCACGTAGTAAAAACAAGAAATGAAATAGCTACACCCTACTCCATTCATAAAAATCAGTCTTAAATTGTTTAAGGGCATGAATGTGACAAGAAAACTTTAAATATATTAGCAGAAAATGTAGGTTACTACTTTTTATGTTGGGGCAGAGAATAGAACCTCAATGAGATATTTTAAAATTTACTACACTAAATAAAACTAAGAATTCTGACAATACTAAATGTTAAAAGAACAATCATTGCTGGTGAAAAGATAAATCAATAAAACTTTGACAGTGATTGGCATAAGATTTCTAAGTTAAATATTCTCATAATTTTCAGCTCAGCAATTGCACACCTTGATTCACTATGTGGTCTTTGTGATGGTTAAGGCAGGTTATTAACTTTATTGCCTGTGTGTCTGGTGGGTCATGGAAGTGTGAGTCAATATGGGATCCTTTGCCCTTTCCTCTCTGGCATTGTTCCCTGATCCAACTTGTGTATGTGGATGGGTCATAGCAGCGTGCCCTTGGGGGGATATGTGATCCCTTGCCTCTCCTCTCTGGCACTGTTCCCCTGCTCTGTTTCTCAGATATTGAGAACTGAGCAGCTTTGCTTTGCCATACTCTTCCCTGATCATGTTTCTCTGCTGATACCATCCACCCTTGGACTGAATCCTCTGAAACCGTGAGCCCACAAACCATTTCTTTCTTTAAATTGTGAGTGTCAGGTATTTAATCCCAGCAACAGGAAAGCTAACAGTCCTGAACATGTGCATCATATAGACAGTACATTTGAAAATGATCATGTCATTTAAAAGTTAATTTACTCACTATGATGGCTGCATAGTGAACTGCCTCAAAAGATGGTGGCTCATAGCAACAGTATTTACTATTTCCCACAGTTTCTGCAGATCAGAAGTTTGAGAATAGCTCAGGTGAGAGGTTCTCACTTGGTTTCTCAGGTTTACAGTCAAGATATACTAGCAAGCTCTGCAATCATCTGAAGCCATGACTAGTGGGGTATCTACTTCCAAGGTGACTACTCACTTATACAAAAAAAAAAAAAAATACTGCTACTGATTGTTGCTATAGTATAACCACAACACAGCTACTAGCTTTCCCCAGAAAGATAGATCTGGGAAAGCAAGGAAAACACTATAGTAGTCTCATTATTACTTCTACCATAGTCTACTGGCCCAGAGGGTAGCTCTACTCAGTGTAGGAGGGGTCTACACAAAGGCATAAGTATCAAGGAGCAAAGATCACTGGGGGGCATCTTACAGCCTGATCACTGAGAATGGAAAAAAATAACTGTTCTCTGATTATTGGAGAGCAGATTATAATGTATTTTATTAACATAGTAGAAATGGATACTATACAACAGAAAATGAATGCAGCACAACTACCTCAGAATCATGCATCTACCAAAAATACATGTATATAAACAAGTTTCAGAAGAGAAAAAACAGTACAAAATCACTTATGTATTTGAACCTTAAAACCAAACGTTTGTGTGCATCACAATTTATGAAGCTATTAAAAAACTCAAGAGAAAATTAAGTACAAATTTCAGAAAAGTAATTATCTTCTAAAAAAAAGGAAAGGGCACAGAGCAAAAGGAAGCACATAAATTAGTGCATGTTACTCATTGGGTTAAAAGTCTCAGATTGAGTGGTGAAGTTAATGTTAATGTAAATGTCAATTATCTTTTTTGCTTTATAATCTACATAAGCATTACATATAAGAAGGTCACTTTTAATCAAAATATAATATCCATTTCACCCCACACAATGATCTGGGTTGGAAATATGGTAATCTTTTTAAACTATAACAATATATTTTTGTTTGTTTTTGGAATATACATATATT